GGGGCTACTGGGGAGCCCAAAATACAAAAAGCCCTAAACCCTCATCCCTAAACCCTAAACCCTCATCCCTAAACCCTCATCCCTAAACCCTGAACCCTCATCCCTAAACCCCAACCCATAAACCCCTCATCCCTAAACCCCTTAACCACTCACCCCTAAATCCTAAACCGACATAGAAAGGGCCCCGAACTTAGGCTTAGTAAGTAGGTTATAATTGGGAATAAGACCGAACTTCAGATTCAATGGGGATTTAAATTCGAATTTAAGCCTATGTCCTCTAGGACTCCGGTGCCTCTCTGGGAGGCTTAGATTCGAATTTAATGCATCCCAGTAGAAAAGGGCTAAATTCGAATTTAAATCCCTGTGTGTGTTTCTCAGGTGTCGATAGGGATTAAATTCGAATTTAATCTGTGATGGGTAGAAAGGGTGTTAAATTCGGAATTAAGTCCTCTTGCCAGCGCAAGGCTTCAATTCGAATCTAAGCCGTGTCTGCTTCATGTAGCTTAAATCCGAATTAAAAGCACGTAAGGTCTCGCCGCAGCAAGGCTTCAATTCGAATTTAAATCCCTTCCAGGGTTTCGTCCTAGCAAGGTATGGGCTGCATGTATGTATGTGGGTATGTATGTATGTATGTATCTATGTATGTATGTATGTATGTATGTATGTATGTATGTGTACGTATGTATGCATGTATCTGTATGTGTAAGTATCTATGCACGTACTATATGTATGTATGTATGTATCTATGTATATGTATGTGTATGTGTATGTGTATATGTATGTGTATATGTATATGTATATGTATATGTATGTGTATGTGTATATGTATATGTATATGTAAATGTAAATGTATATGTATATGTATATGTAAAAACAATGTACATATATATATATGTATCTGTATCTATGTATGTATGTATGCATGTATGTATGTATGCCCACAAACGTTGGGACCATTAAAGCCTTACACACTTACTTCTTGAATCCGAGACCCTTAGACCCTTAAACTCTTTCAGTTTGACAGGCTTAGCAGCCTTACACTGTTTCACTTTGAGAGGCTTAGCCACGTAGACGCTTGGGCCCTTGGAGCCTTAGACCCTTAAATCTTGAATCCTAACCCTTAAACTCAGCCCACTACACGCTTGGACCCTTGGACCCACAGACCCTTAGACCTTGAATCCTAGACCCATCGACTCCCAGACTCCCAGACCCTGGAACTAGCCCCGTGGATGGGCTGGACCCCTGGAACCCTTTGCCGCTGGATTAAATTCGAATATAAGCCTTGGGCGAGAAAAAGGCTTAAATTCGAATTTAATTCCTTCCCTGTGCCGATGGTTGGTGGCCGCTGCTTGGTTAGGAGGTTTAAACTCGAATCCATATGGATGCTATGGCCTCGCCCTACCCGGGAGGGGAATTAAATTCGAATTTAATCCTTTTCTAAATTCGAAATCCGGCCTCATCCTTATAATTGGTGTTATAAGTCCCCTAAGTGGGGCTATCCTAATTATAACCTACTTATAACCTTACTTACTAAGTCCCATGATCCTCTAAGTACTCTAAACGCCCTCTTATAGAACCCTTAATAGGATCCCTTAAAGGAGCCCTTTAAAGGAACCCTAGGCTTTCTTACTAAGTCACCATGATCCTCTAAGTAGAAAGAGCCCCGAGCTTAGGCTCGCCGGTCCCGCGAGCGGAAGTCCGACAAGCCAACCGCTACTGGCAACAGACTTGGACCAGGAATTTGGGGTTTAGGGGTTCAGGGGTTTTGGGTTTTGCGGTTTTAGGGTTTAGGGTTTAGGGACTCCAAAATTGAGCTTTGGAGTATCATATTTTAATACGTTTTTCTTCAAGGAACCATTGTGAAATAAAGGTTTATGCTTTTTTCTTCCTGGTTACTTAAAAGCACAAAAAGCACATAAGCATAAGCATTTTATGGGGATATCTCTACCTTATGGGGGTTCATTATAAGGCGGTTTATATGGGATATCGCAACAGACATGGACCAGGAAAGCCATGGCACGAGGTTTAGGGGTTTTGGGTTTAGGGTTTTAGGGAGGGTTTAGGGTTTTAGGGGTTTTGGGTTTCGGGTTTAGGGTTTGAGTTTTGGGTTTCGGGTTTAGGGTGTTGGGTTTAGGGTTTATGGTTGAGGGCTTGTCCAGGCTTTTTGAGGAGCCCAGTGTTGTTTGAGGTCTTTAGGGATTCAAGGGAGTTTCGAAAGGTGAAAGGGCTCTGTAAGATTTCTGGTTTAACTGGACCAGCACGGCTTTTTGGTCTTGGAGGTTTAGGTTTTCGGGGGCTGAGAAGTTTGGCTGTGGGGTTCTAGGATTAGGCTTAGGGAATAGGATTGGGGACTAGGGCTTTGGGTTTCTGGGAGATCAGCTTCAATTCATCGAAAAGCTGTCGGTTTAGGGTTTAGGGTTTAGGGTTTCCTGACCTCCAAAGATGATAAGATATTGTGCAAGATGTGGACAGGTCAAGTGCGTTGTTGCACTTCGATCAGTCGTGCTCAGGGATTGCGTGCTACTTCCCGAGGAAACGACTACATACTGGCAGACTGGTCTTGCAAAAACCTAGGAGTGCTAGTGCCAGTAGCTATCACTGCTGTGCTATGTCGTATTTGTAACTAGTTGCGGGGCTAGTAACGACTACTAACATACTAACATATACTAACTACTACTGTCGCCACTGCGATTACCACCCGTATTGTGCATCTCATTCGTACAACCCTTTTACTACCAAAAACGTCGTCGTCCTCCTCCTACTCCTCGTCCTCGTCCTCCTCCTCCTCCTCCTCCTCCTGCTCGTCCGCTGCCTCCTCTTCGAACAGGACACGGGGCCCTAAACCCGAAACCCCCCCATTTCCCAAGACGAAGCCCAAGCACTGCGAGGAGTGACGCGCTTGCCGGGTGAAGTGCAAGCGCGGCGTCGGAGGTGTTAGCAGGGCGTTGAGGGGCTGTAGGGTTTAGAGTTTAGGGCTTAGGTTGGGGTTAGAGCTTAATTAGGGCTTAGGGTTTAGAGTTTTGGGTTCTAGGTTGAAGGTTTACGGCGTAGGGCTTAGGGTAACGGGCCGTGAAAAAAGGATCCTATTATTCGGCATATGCATGAATGTCCCCTGACAATGTTCAGAAACTCCCATGTGCAAAGCGGCGCATGGCTTTCCGCTAGTGCCCTGCGTCCTGAAAGCTGAGACGATGCGCCGTGACGCAGCAGCTTGATTGATTGCTTCGAATTGCAATCTCGGAAAAGCCTCCAACCCTAAACCCCTGAACCCTAAACCCCTCAACCCCTCCACCCTAAGCCCTTTAAATCCTAAACCCTAAACCCCTAAACCCTAAACCCCTAAACCCTTAAACCCCTAAACCCTTAACCCTAAGGGCTTTAGGTTCAGTGGTTTAGGGTCTTTGGTTCAGGGCTTAAGGTGCCTATCGCAGTGGGTGCTGGTGGAATGTGGTCGAGTTTCGAAAGGGAGACCACCTGGAGTCACGGTTTAGGGTTTATTATCGGGGCCTAAAGGTTTAGGGTTTAGGGGTTTAGGGTTTTAAATAATTACCAATACTTTGGGGGTTCCTTATCAATATAGTTATAGTAGAAAGGGCCCCAAAACCCTCTTCTAGCTATTAAGGCCCCTACTGATGATGGACAAAATCCTGCATTACCCGTTATAAGGACTATACCATAGTTCCCATAGTTTAGAGTCCTTAGGGTCATGCAGGATTTTGTCCATCAACGTTTACTATAAGGGCCTAGATAATTACCTATACTATCTTGGGGGGTTCCTTATTCTAGTTATAGTATAATGGGCCCCAAAACCTTGTTCTAATTATTAAGGCCCCTATATCATAGCTATAGATCCCTTCTAGACCCATTTAAGGAACCCTTTAAAGGAACCCTATTCCAATTATTAAGGCCCCTATATTAGAGATCGCTGGAGCTTAGTGGTTCGTTTTACCAGCATCGCCTTTAGGCGGCCTGCATGCCCTAAATCCTCTCAAAGGGGAAAAGGAGGGACCCTTATTGGGGACCGCTGCCCTATAATGGGGTTATACAATGGGTATATAATAGCTATATTAAGGGTACATACCTAGGGGTCCTTATTAAGGGTCCCTCCTTTTACTCTTGGATCCTCGGTCCTCAACGGCGAAACACTCAGAGACAATTCACCGTCACCCCGTGGAGCTGTACCCCAAATCCGACACCGTGGAGCTGAAATCTGTGGCTCAGCTAGAGATCCTGGTTTGGAGTCTCATGCCCACTGTTCGAACGAGCCAGTTAAAGGCTCTTCTCCTTCTCCTCCTTCCTTTCCCCTGCCTTCAGGGTTTAGGGTTAAGGGTTTGGGATTCAGGTTTAGGGCATCCGAGAGCTTGCTCAGTGATTTTCGTGCTTCTGCTCGTCTTACCATTGCTATTTGTCATCACCGCCTCAGCAACAACAGCGGCAGCAGTCGGCTCCTCTCGCGATCTATTTCGCAGGGCCAGTTGACTACATGTTGACCTTGTTTGACAAGCTGCCTGCTGTTTGAGGGGTCGTGGCAGGCGGTCGAAGCTCATCCAAAAGGCAAGCCTGCAACCCCAAGCCCCCAAACCCATGATCCTGAACCCTAAACCCTAGACCCTAAACCCCTAAACCCTAAAGCCTAAACCCGAATCCTGAACCGCGAAACCCGAAACCTAAATGCTAAACCCTTCAACCGTAAACAACTTCAACCCTTACACCCTGGACCTGCAGAGAACACAATGTGTTCTTGGTTGGCATGGTTCAGTTTTTTGCCGGGCAGCATTGGCGGCTTATTAAAACCTGCTTCATGTGGCATCCCAGCCCGAGGCATTGACCAGGCTTTAACTAAGAAGCAGGTTTAGCGTAGGGAGTACAGGGCATCGGGCTTCTCATGCTCTCGATGCCTGAGTAGTCGGTCCTCAGGTCAGACTAGACAAGTCTTTGAACCCATTTCGGTCCACATTTCTGATTCAAGCAGCCACTGTGCCAGCAGCTCGACTGGGGCCATGGCAGTGCAGCAGGGGACCATTCAGCTGCTGCTGGAAGGAGCTGTAATTTTAGTCGGGGTCCAGGGGGCTCTTTCTTTGTCCGTGAACGCAGAGACTCCAGAACCTTTTAAATCAGGAACATACGTGTCGCTGTACCTTAAATCATATTCAAAATCCCTTTCTAATCTAAGGCATGTTCCTTAACTCGGGAACATACAGTAGATCATATTAAGAATCCCCTTCTAATGTAAGGCATGTTCCTGAGTAACAGTCTATAATAACAGGGCTACTCTAAAGGGCCTTTTATATCTGAGTGGGCGCAGTACCCAAGGTATGTTCCTCAATCAAAGGGCATGCTGGCCCTACTAGGATGCTCAGTAGTACCCTTATTCCCTTTCTGTAGTCCTAGGTTTCTTAACCCCTAGGATGCCCAGTAGTACCCTTATCCCCTTTCTGTAGTCCTAGGTTTCTTATAAAACTTACCCAATACCAAAAAAGGGAGCTCTTTATTCCTAGGTTACTGGGCATCCTAGCCAAGGTATGTTCGTCAATCAAAGGGTATGTTGGCCCTAAATCTCAAACCCCTAAACTCTAAACCCCCAAACTTAACCCTCACAAGCCCATTAGGGGAGCTCCTTTGAGGAACATACCCTTAAATCATACTAAGGACCTCTTGGGTGGTTGTCAAAATTAAGGTCCATTTTTGGGTCCTTATTCTAGTACGGCACCTATTATTTAGGGTACCCAAAAAGGGACGCTAATTTTGACAACTACCCCCTTCTATGTTCAAAGCATCTTCCTTGTCTGACGGGGTTTGGAGGTTTGGGGTTTAGGGTTCAGGGTTTATGTGGGTTTTAAGTCTAACTAAGCAACCGTAGAACCCTAAGCTGAACCCCTAAACCCCTAACCCCCAATCCCTGAACCCCTAAACCCAAAGCATTTTAGGGGTTCAGGGCTTTGGGGTTCAGGGGTCTCGAAGGGCAAACTCCAAAGTCTCGTGAGACTCTTGGGTCCGCTGTGGCTTCTCCAGTACAGAGTCCCTTTCCTTAAGGACGAAATGAGCCCTAAAAGGGTTTAAGGTTCATAAACCATATAGGGATTCATAGTATATGGGTATAGGGCCCTACTTTTAAGGTCATTTGGTCCTTCAGGTTCAGGGCATCATATGGGTGGTGTCAGAAATAGGGGTCCCTTTTTGGCTACCCTAAAGACTAGGTGCCGTATTAGATGAAGAACCCAAAAAGGGGATCATAATTTTGACAACCATCCATATGCCTGCTTTGCTTAGAGGGTTTAGGGTTTAGGGTTTGCACCTCCCCGACTCAGTTTATCTTGATTGATGCTCCAGACACCCTTAAAAGATCCACCATAGAACCCTTAGTATAGATCCCTCATAGGATCCTTTATACAACCCTTAAGGACCAGTCGGGAGGCTTACTTAAAATTGCAGCACCCCCCCCAGGTGGAGTGCCGGAGGTTCCGAAGCCTTGGTTTTGGGTAGTAGGGAATGGTAGTAGTAGTAGTAGTAGTAGTAGTAGTAGTAGTAGTAGTAGTAGTAGTAGTAGTAGTTATAATTGTGCCCCATTCCTCCGTTCCATACTAACCAAAGGTAAGAAGCAGGCGAGGACATTCTGTTTGCAGGTGGCCAGTGCTTGGCTTCTACCGAAAGAGAAGACCGATAGTGCCTCTGATATACAAAATCCTTCCTGCCGTACCTTGTGCAGGATATCAGCCTTAGGAATATTATTCCTCAAAGTTGCTCATTGAAGTTATAAGCGCGACAGTGTACCCAACAGCTCTGATTCTCAAGGCCCCCATGTTCAGATATCTTTTCAACTTGCAACTCCCAGAGAGCCCGGTTCCCCTTGATGAAGGAGCATAGCTACTTAAATCATAATACAAGGCCCCTTATAGTTTAAGGCATATTCCGTAATTCTGGGGTATTGGGCTCTCCTTTGTCATAGTTGGGTAACATTTTACATTTTTATGGGTACTTAAATCCAATAAGGAATAGAAATTTAAATGTTTAATCCTATCCCAACCATGAACTAGTCTCTGGGCTTGCCGGTGCGGCACAGGACATGCCTTCCACCACGAGCGCCCTATATTGCAGGCTGGCTCCAACCCCGAAGCCCCGAAGCCCCGGACCCTCAAACCTCGACTCTAAAGCAACGACTCCAAGAAAGGAGGGACCCTTACTAAGGACCCCTAGATATATACCCTTAATATAGCTATTACATGCCCATTATATAGGGTTCTTATGTCTAAGGGTAAAAGGAGGGACCCTTAATAAGGATCCCTAGGTATATACCCTTAATATAGCTAGTATAGACTCATTATATAGCCCAGTATAGGGTAGGGGTCCCCATTAAGGGTCCCTCCTTTTCCCCTTTGAAAGACAGCTGAACATTGAGCTCCAAGCGATGGCACCCTTACATCCGAAGGGCTTCGCGCGCAGTGCTTAGGGCTACGAGCTTAGAGTATGGCCTCATATCATTCAAGGTATATTCCCTAGTTGAGGAATATACTTGGAATAAGTATAATAATCGTGGGCTCCCTGCTTTGGTATGGCTTTACTTATCTTTCTCTTTTGGCTTGTTGGGTGTTTGGCTTCTGGTTTCTTCTTTAGGGATCACCCAACTTCCTCACCCTCTCACGAGGTAGGAATTGTCGTTTCAAGCATGTCTCTAAGCATGGGAGGTTTGTGGGGTTTAGGGTTTAGGAGACTAGGGGTTCAGGGTCTAGGGTTTAGGAGACTAAGGGTTCAGGGTTTAGGGTTTAGGAGACTAAGGGTTCAGGGTTTAGGGTTTAGGAGGGTTTAGGGTTTAGGAGACTAAGGGTTCAGGGTTTAGGGTTTAGGAGACTAGGGGTTTAGGGCATGCAGGGTATATTATATGGTTTAGAGTTCCTTCTTCGGTTTGTTGTGAGGGTTCCTTTTAGGGTTTAGGGTTTTAGGGGATTGGGGTTTTTATACACAGCGCAGACCTAATTCGCCTGGTTTAGGGTTCCCGGCTTTGGAGTTTCAGGCTCTAGGATGCGGAGCTTCCTCATGGCGGTTCATTGTCTCAGGTCCTGAAGGACCAAATGACCCTTAAAAGTAGGGGCCCTATACCCAGATACTATGAATCCCTATATGGTTTATGAACCTTAAACCCTTTTAGGGCTCATTTCGTCCTTAAGGGTTTAGGGCCGTCCCAGCGCAGGTTCAGAAGAAGCACCAGTCGATCGGAAACGGCGCGCTCGGCACTCAGCTGCAGCTGTTCCGGACCTCAGGCAGCGCAGGCGGACCTTAGAGTATTGGCTGAGGGTTTATTGTTCCTGCTCTAGTTCAAAGGGCCATGATGCCCTTAGCCTAAGTTATGCCTTACGCCCTGAAAATGTCCTTCAGACTCAATATGGGGGTTTCCGAAAATTAGGGGTACCTTATTTAGGGGTCCGTATAATAAGGATCCTATCATATAGGGTCCTATATTTATTAGGATTTTCAGAAGCTCCCATATTCAGTATTTTATAGACTTATAAGTATCATAACCCCAACTAGGATCCCGTTTAGGGTACTTATAGGCCCCCTTATTACCCACTTACTAAGTCTCACGATCCTCAAACTTCTAAGTCGGAGGCTCCGACGGCTGAGGCTCTTCACTCTGGCCGATGCGGAAGCAACCATCGATGCCCGCCCCCTTGGTTTCAGACTTGAGGGCAGAGCTGTCTGGGGATCAGGGTTTAGGGGGTGGAGAGTGGAGTTTAAGGGTCCTACTGGTAGGTTTAGGGTTCAGGTCTTCAGGCTTTGGGGTCGGTTAGAGGGTCCTTTGTTTCTGCATTTTGGAAGACGGCCTGCTCGGGATATGTATTCGCTTTCCTGTTGTATTTGCTGCTGTTGTCTCATCACTATTGTCAGGTCTACATCTACTTCTAGTTCTAGCCTTTAGAAGCACGGTGTGCGACTAAAACGTGAATGCTAAACTCGTGACTAGGTAGGCCTTTGGGACATTTTAATATTTTCGCTTTGTGGACTTAGGAGGATACTATTTACGAATAGTTTTCGGAGGCTTTGGAGGGCCAACCTAGATAAGAAAAAAGCGCTTCAACCCTCATTCAGAGCTCAGCACCACGGAGAAACCAGGGATCCTAATCTTGAGCTAACAAGCTCCCCCCTTGCGGATGTAGGGTTTGGGGGTTAAAGTTTAATAAAGTTTAGGGCATCATTGTCAGCCTTAAGAGCCTTTAACCTGGTAGTCCGGCAGCAGCAATTTCCAAAAATGTCCCAGTGCACAACTAATTCTATGCAGAAAACCTTTTTGCTTCGAATGATTCAGGCGCTTAGCAGTTTGAGGTTCCGTTGTTGCTTCCCGACCCAAATCCCAGTTGATAAAACCCTATAATTAAGGCCTAAAGCCTCCTGGATTCAAAAAGTCCCGTCCGCTGCCCATCAATACAAGGTGGGCTTATAGGGTTTGAGAGTGTAGGGTTAAGTGAATATACAACCTTAAAACATACGCACTACATTGCTCGCCCGGGATCCTTCCAGGCAAACGTCGCGGACACAGCGGAACCGGCCGTGGGCCCAAAGCTGAACGGTTGGATTTATTTTGCGCATGTTGTTTCGGTTTAGGGTTTAGGGTTTGAGTTATTGGCTGCGTGTTTTTGTCGGAGGGGGAATGGGGAGGCGGAGCCTAATTCGCGAAGTTGGTTTTGAGGTGGGTTTAGCAGGATCGAAGAAAGCTTCTCGAGTGCAACTGGCAATGGCAGAAAGAACACAGAGATCTGCTTGCTCACATAGGAAGTTCATGTTCTCAGCATCTTGGTCTATCACGTGCGCAGCGTGACTGTTCGTGGCTAGTAGCTCTGCACGTGTAAGTCCAAGCTGGGCTCTTGGATCTCCTTAGTGAAAACAGTTGGAGTCCAAAAAAACATGCAGGGATTCTGATTCAGAGAGCCGCCTTTAAGATTGTCAAACCTGGCCAAGCACGCAAAAGAGCATCTGGAATCTTCCACCGTCCGGCGCGAACACTCCACCGGCGGAAACCACAATACCGCAATGAAATAGCTATGGAGTAAGAAAAGCGCTTAGCCACGGGATCCCCTTAGAAAACAGGACCAGTGAGTGACACCGGAGGTCATTCACTCAGCATCGGAGCCTAGCAAGACGAGTCTTTTGAAGGCAGATCCTGGTAATGTATAGAAAGCACTGCAGCTTCATTGAGGTTCATTGTATCAACCATCATATCTTGGGTTGAAGGCCAGGGTTGCTTAATCAGGTTCCTGCAGTAGGGATTCATGTCCCAGGGTTTGAACTGTTGAGGTTGGACTGGGCGATGCCGTGCAGCTCCTCCAATGGGATGCACAGCGCTGTCAGGCCGGCACATAGCTAGCTGTGCAGTTCCGTTTGGGTTAATAATTCAAGCGGTCTGAATGATTGTGGTGTTACAATCCCCGCATAGCTCTTCTTCGTCTTCTTCTTCAATAATGTACCGCGAATCCTTATTCCCATCATCAAGCCCTATGGCCTACGCGTCAGACTTTGCAGTTTCGCTTGGTGCATCCATCCCAGATGATGCCTCAGCCTGCAGTATGGTAGATGTGTAGTAAAATGGGAGTTTCCGAGAATAGGGGACCCTAACATGGTACCCTATATAGTGGGATCCTTATTATAAGGACCTCAGAATAAGGTAACCCCTAATTTTCGGAGACTCTAAACCCCTTATAGAGCCCTGCAAAGGAACCTGTATAGTACCCTTATAGTAACCCTGTAAAGGACCCCTAAGGTACCCCTATTTCGGAACCTCCCAAATGAAGCATTGCCTGGAGTGTCGCTGCTGACAACTTCGGCTTTGGGTCTTGATCTGGCATCTTCCCCCCTGCGCACCTCTGGTACATACATCAAAGGGGTGAAGGAGGGACCCCTAATGGGGACCCCTACCCAGTAATGGGCTATATAATGGGTATATAATGGCTATATTAAGGGTATATTTCCTAGGGGTCCGTATTAAGGGTCCCTCCTTTTCCCCCTGGAATACACTTGTCAGCATGTGGAAGACAGGGCTGGTAAGAGAATGCCCCAGTGCAAGAAAGGACCCGTGTCCTGGACCAACAGCAGAGAGATAGTGAGGAACACCGTCATGTTCAGAAGATCCTGATTAATACATAGTGGCTTAAAATATTACCGTTATTATTCCTTAGGGTTCGTTATCATAACTATGCTAAAAGGAGCCCAAAACCTGCTCTAACTATTACGGCCCCGGTATCACCTCACTGAAGCTTCCACATAAACCTATCACAGCTCGAGCCGATGCGATCTGCTAGTCCATAAAACCCTGAAGACCGCGAACCCTAAAACCCCAAACCACTTAAGCTTCGAAGAAGCAGAACAGTAAACCCAACTAACCTCTGTAAGGCCCTTTTTGAATCCCTTGAAAGACCTTTGTTGAACCCTTGGAAGAACGAGGTTGGACCTTACTGCCTTTATGAGACCCCTTCATGAACGCGCATAAAGTCCCTTCGAAGCTTCATAACACCCTCACAAAAGCTCCCCAGAGAGTTCCTTGGGAACCCCTTCAGAGTTCCGTAGGATGCGACGATGCTTCATGTGCAAAGCTGGATGCGAGTCTCGCGCCTTGGACCTTTCAAACGAGAAGCACTTGAAGGGCTCTTAGAAAAGAGGCTTCAGTTTAACGATCTGTAGGGTTCAGGGCTTCTAGGGCTTGGCGTGCAGGGAACAGAAGCATACTGCTACCTAAAGTTCGACATAGGGGTCCGTTTATGTCTGCAGGCTGAAAGACTGTCTGGCACCATGGGTTTAGGGCTTGTGACGCTAGGCTAGCCTCAGGGAGGGTTTACGGCTTTTAGCTTTAGGCCCAGGGAACATTAAATTAATTTCTTTTTCAATCGATTCAGGTTTTTGCAACTGCCGCCCCTTAAACTATACAACCCAAACCCATCTAGCCGGGCTCGATACGAAGGAAACAGAATCGGAGAGTGAGGCTTGGTATCGGTTTAGTATGGGCCAGAACGGTGCAGACTTAGAGACTCCAAAACCCTAAGTTACGGAAGATACCCTAAGTCACAAGGCCTCAAACACCTGCGCCCTGAACCCTAAATATCCCTAAGAAGAACTCAGGAGGCGATAGGACCTCAATATGGCAGATCTGGGAGTTTCCGAAAATGTTGGGTGCCTCATTTTGGGGTCCTGATAATAAGAATCCTACTACTTAGGCTACTATATTAGGTCCCCGATTTTCGGAAGCTACCATATTTCAGATCATGTGAACGATCGTGGATGATGCATGGAAACTCTGTAAGCACGAAAAAGTGCATATAGACATATGGGAGTTTCCGAAAATAGGGGACCCTCATATAGTTCCGTAAGTAGTAGGGTCCTTTTTATAAGGACCCCCCAAATAAGGTACCCCTTATTTCCGGCAATTCCCATATGTTGGCTGAAGTCCAAGACATCGGGGCGACACTTTCACGACGCACCTAAGCCCTTCCCAGAGGGTCCAAGTACTCCCTCTTATAGGACTTTAGGGCCTTTTTAGGTATCGAAAACCATAAATAAGGACTACTTGGACCCTAAGCCCTTTTGAGCCTCCAAAATGTTGGGCTGCAACAGTACTTGGATGCCCAGAAGTACCCGTATTCCTTTTCTGTAGTCCTCGGTTCCTTATAAAGTTACCCAATACCAAACAGGGAGCCCTTTTTATTCCTAGGTTGCTGGGCATCCTAGTTAAGCCCCAAAACCTTAAACTGACACCCCCTAAACCCCTAAACCCTAAACCTTAAACCCCTAAACGGCCCTAAACCGTCAAGTTACTTAAGGACCAAGATGCCAAGTAGTACCCTTATTCCCTTTTTTGTCCTCGGTTCATCCTAAACCCTAAACGCTTAACCCCTAAACCGTCAAGTTCCTTGACAAGAACTCGGCGTTCTTCTGGTTGGCTCTTGGGACTTTAACTTTTTGGGTTTCTCTATGAACTATAACACGGAGGCTAAAAGTTTAACTTTTTGGAGGGGTGCAGAAGTCAGCCAAGTGAACCTGCCCAGGGGCTCCGAAGATCTTCGTCGAGCGCGGGACCTCGGGGCGATCCGAAGGTTTAGGGCTTCCGGAGCTCCTTTAAGGGTTCCTTTAAAGGGTACTATTAGGGTTCTATAAGGCTTCCTTTAATGAGGGTTTAGGGTTTAGGGGTTTAGGGGTTTAGGGTTTGGGGTTTGGGGTTTAGGGTTTGGGGTTTAGGGTTTAGGGTTTGTAACAGCATGCGCGCGGTGGGTGCGCCTTTTACTTTAGGAATAGGGGCGCACCCACTTATCGCGCGCTTGCGTCAGCATGTAGTCCCGCCCCAACCACCCCAACTATTCTCAATTAGGGTTTAGGGTTCACCCCCAAACCCCCCTCAAGGGGGGCTTTCTTGCTCTCTACTTCCTTTCGCAGCTCGATACATAAACGACCACATTTAACAGCAAACCACCAATGAAATGGATTAGTGTCGGGTTGTGGGTCCTCGCGGCCTGTGCCGGCCGCTCGACGAAAAGCAAAGGTTTCCAACAAACAACTTGGTTCTCGCGCCCTGCAAGGGCTGCTCGAAGCTTCCTTTCGCAGTTCGAGTAAACGACAACATTTCACAGCAAACCACAACTGAGATGGATTAGTGTCGGGTTGTGGGTCCTCGCGGCCTGTGCCGGCCGCTCGACGCCCTGCAAGCGCTGCTCGAAGGCGGGCAGGGCCGGCTGCAGGGCCAGGGGGTCAGCAGGAAGACAGGGGCGGGTGAGGGAAGTGAGGGGGGCAGGGGGCCCAGGGGGCGCAGGGGGCCGGGGGGGGGGCTAAGGGGGCAGGGGCACCCACAAAACACCAAGCCTCGGGTCGCTGGAATCTGCCAGGACCCCTCAAAAGACACAAGTGACCCCCATGGTCGTGGGTTTGGGGTCCTAAAAACAACGGACTGACGTCCGTATTGTGTGAGGCGTAGCCGAGTCATTTCCGTCCCCGTATACCGGGAGGCTTTACCCTCCCTCACCGTCTTGTCGGGACGCTCGGCCGGGGGCCTCGGTCAGAGCCTCGAGCGCCCATGCAAATGGTCAGCGGCGCTCTCGGCAGTTTAGGGTTCAGGGGTTTAGGGTTCAGGGGTTTAGGGTTTAGGGGTTTAGGGTTATGGGTTTAGGGTTTAGGGGTTTAGGGTGTCGGGTTCAGGGTCCTTTAAGGGCTCCTTTATCTATAGTTTCCTTAAGGATTTTTGTCTATCTTTGTGCATATAAAAACCCAGGAGAATATTAGCAATATTAAGTTTATTATGGTTCTAAGGGGGTAAAGTTCCTTTATGGGTTGTTTAAGGACCTCTAGGGTTTAGGTTTCAGGGTTCTGGGGATATTAAACCACAGTAACCTGGGTCCCTTAAGAGTACCTTTAGGGTCGTCCTTCAAGGGTACCGTTAAGGGTTGCTTTTGGAGGGACCCTTTTCTGGGTTCTATAAATAATGTGGTTATGTATTTTGAGAGCTTGACGTAAATCCTGAAAAGAGAAGCCAGACAAAGTTCAGAATCTAAAACAAACGAAAACGCTCTGAAGGAAATGGAGGGTTGAAGTTTAGGCGAAGTTTCGGGGCTTTTGGGGTTTAGAGTTTAGGGGCCTTGGGGGTTAACTACTATTTGCTTAAGAACCCCGAAAAAATAAAAAAATATATTCCTTATGGGGGTAATATAGGGATTATTATTTTTTATTTTTTGGTGGTTTCTTAAGCAAATAGTAGTTAAAGGTTTGGAGTTTGAGAGTTTGGGGTTTAGGGTTTTGGGTCGTGGATTATGATTAGGGGGTGAACGATTCCGCAAGTCTCCTGTTGTCGTGCTTAGGGTCTTGGGTGTTTGGGGTGTAGGGCTGTAGAGATTCAGGCGCATAGTTTGGAAACGTTGGGTTGAAAGTTACAGTCATGTTACAATTAGGGCTTAAATCTACGGTTGCCAGTTTCTTTTCGAGATGTTGATCGAACTTCTTTAGGCTTTAGGCTTTTCAGAGAGGTGGCGGAAGTCATGTGTCTATGTGTGTACAGATGTATTCACACAAGCACAAAAGGGTTTTTGCAGCAACATACACTGCCAAGTTTTGCGTCTGTTCATGTTTTAGAGTGCAGGCACCATTCTATGTGTGTAGTTTTTGTTTCTGCATGCGGCTGAAAAGACAAGTCGAAACTACATGCTGTACCTTTCAAGAAGCCGGGTGGCACAAATCAAGCCTAAACCCTAAACCCTAAACCCTAAAAAATACAATCAACGATGGGTTCAGAGTTTGAGGTTTGGGGCTGGGACCCATGCAACCCAGAGACTCCAATAGCCCCTTAATTAAGGAATGTTCCTTAAATCATTTTAGGCATCCTACTATAATTTAAGGTATATTCCTTCATTAAGGGATGTTGGAGTCTCTAGCAAACCTCAAAAACTAACCCCAGATGCCACAGAGGCACCGACGCCGACGCGACGGCTAGTGCCCCAGCCAGGAAAAGCTTCCATCTGGAACTGAGGGTTTATATAGGTGCCTTCATAATCACCTATATTATGTTGGGGGCTCCTTGTTATAGCTATAGTATAATGGACCCCAAACCCTATTCTTCTTATTAAGCCCGCTATACCATAAAACCCTAGTATAGATCCCTTATAGACTCTATTCTTATAAGTAAGGCCCCTATATTATAGTACCCTTATAGATGCCTTATAGTAGCCCTTTACAGGAACCCTATTCTTATAATGGCCCCTATATTAGGGCTTCTCTCTGGGTAAAGGCTTTCATTAAGCACACCTTCGGCCAGCTACGAGTCCTTTTCGGTCCTAGGGCTCGTTGCCGTATGTGGGTCCTTTCAGGGGATCTATAGGGTTTAGGGGTTTAGGGTTTTTGGGTTTAGGGTTTAGGGTTCTGTTTGGCTGGATGTGGCGGGGCTTATCTCGGCTACTGAATCAGGCCTACATAGACTATGCTACATAGGCTGCAACACTCGGTCATTGTACGCCAGGTGGACAGCAGAAGCATCAGTTGCTTGCGAAACATCAACAGTCCTACTCAGTTGATGGGAGATCTTTGAAACATCTTGGGAAGCTACATGTTCAAAGTTGAGTGTTGGCTTCTTCTTGCCTGGTTATTGAAGGAGCAAATGAGCCTCTAAAGCCACTAAACCCTAAATCCCAAAACACATCCCTGCACCGTAGACCCAGACACCCCAAGGCCCGAAACTGTAAGAGCCCCATTCCTACACCCAAAGTATTCAGGGCGCACACAACTTCCCTGGAACTCTCGGAAGCAATGTGCAACGCTTATTTACCTTTTTTAAGGACTTGTATAAAGAAATCATATTAGGGAACCCTAAAAGGGTGGGTTCCTTAGGGTTCAGGTAAAGCCTATGCATCTGAAGGAATCTCCTCTAGAGTCGCCGGCTCGGCTAAGGAATTTCGTCGGGGAGGTCAACCAAGGACAAGGCTGGACCGGGGAAGCTTTGCAGTCTTACGGTAAGCCCCATAAAGTTGGAAACCGGATTAAGGCCAAATAGTGCCGGGGGGCCGGGATTCCCTTTTCATTATTCTTAAGGATTGAGGCTATTGGGTTTCCAACTTTGGGGCTTCTACTGTAGGATGTTTTAGGGTTTTTAGGTTGCGGGTGTAAGGTTTATGGTTTCGGATTTCAGGTTCAGGGGATTTTGTGTGAGGGTATGTTGCGTCTTGCTTCAGGTTGTTATTTTTTTCAATCGTTTTATGTTGGCCGGACGGCGGCTCATGGATGTGTTGCTAGTCGCAATGCCCGTAAGTCTCGAGGCCAAAGAAGTTTGGGCTGCGGCGCAGGAACTCGAATCGTCTCTTCGAGGTGTCCCCTCTCTCCAGCCTCCAAACCCTATGGCCTCACCCTACAGTATATAGACCCCATAAAGTTGGAAACCGGATTAAGGCCAAATAGTGCTGGGATTCCCTATGCAGTACTCTTCAAGATTGAGGCTATTGGGTTTCCAGCTTTTGGGGCTTTTACTCTAAACCCTAATCCCTGCAATCGACAGTCCTATACCTCATCCTAGACCCGACGATCTGAATCCCTGGAACTTTAGTGCTCCGAGGAAGCATAGTTGATTTTTCATAGTCTCACCATTTTCATATTTTCATGCTTTTCACTACAACAAACCTCCAGGGTATGATGCATAAGACTGCTCTTATTAGTGTTCTAAGGCCCCGCCTAACGGAAGTCAGCTCGCTCGAAGGACAGTTCGCTGACAACCCCTACAGCCGAGAGTACGGCGGCCATGGCCAGGACAGACAATTTGGCCAGGACCTCTCGGGAACTCTTAGTGGTTGTTGTATCCTAATGTAGGGGCCTTAATAATTTGAATCCGGTTTGTGGGTTCCTTATTGCCATTATAGTACAATATCCGCCCAAGCCTATTCTAATTATTAAGGCCCCTACATTATTGCGAAGCTCTGCTGACGATTCGTGTTTTTATTGTTGTCATTCTTCGTTGCTGTAGCGGTAGTAGCAGCGGTAGAGCGAAGCTCCCTGTATGAACCCGGTTCGGCGAGGGTAAGATGAAAGGTGCCCTACTCAAAGGCTCATGGGACATAGTAAGGTTATAAGTAGGCTATTAAATTAGGATAACCCCCCTTTGGCGACTTACAACCCCAGATATTGCAACCTACTTACTAAGTCCCATGATGCTCTAAGTAAGGATCTTGACTCGGTCACGCTGCATTTCACATTCGTCAAAGTAGGGTAGGCCCATTAGGGTAGCTTAGGCTTCTTATCCAGGTGCTTCCCTAATGATCCCTTGCACCCTCCCAGCTTGAACCACCCTGCCTTTAAGGATCTTGCATATAAACCATAACTAGATCATAGGCGTCATAGGTATCCCTTAATCTGGTTTAAGTTAAGTCTCTTTCAAGCCCTGTAAAACAACTTTTTATTCACATCCTATAACGTCCTTTCACAGCCAGCTATTACTTCATTTAAGGGGGCTTGTTTTTTTGCAGCCGTGAGTGCCAGGAGCAATTTTTCGTCGCTCTGAGCCAGGCTGGCGGAATTCAGCACTAATGTAGAAACTTAGGGTCTGACGGTGGGGGGTCAGACTTTAGGGTTTTATGGTTTGGCCTTTAGCCGTTTTGGGTTTTGGGGTTTTGGCTTGAGGCAATGAAGTAGTACAGATACGGAACAGAGATCTCTTGCCATAGTATTTCTAATGTTTTCTAATGGTACATGAGAGCCTAGTAGTAGAGTTGGTAACCTTTAACCTTTTTTGGGTAGTATAGTCCCTATATAAACTCTACACAACCAAAGAGGTTAACCTTTAGTTCCCCATGATACCCGACAAGTAGGCTTTCTAAGGTTTTCTAGTGGTACATGAGCGATCGTTTGGTTACCGTGGGACCCGTCTGCTTGATGGCGCAATCAGCAGGGCCTTCCGGTGAACCCCAGAAACGTGGAACATTCAGTGCTGGGATTCATTCTGCTTTACGTTAGAGGCCTGAGGATACTTTTTTCCAACTTTCTGTCTTGTACTGTAGTTATAGTATCCTTAAGGGAGGGGGCTCCAAGGGGGGTACATGGCCTAGTGATCCCTAACTCTCCCTAGTACTCCCTAAGGTTCCCCTAAGGATTCCTTGTACCCTCCCCCCTTGAAGCACCCCCCCTTAAGGATCCTATAATGTAGGGTGACATGAGTAGGAGCTGTGATGTAGCCTTCCACTGACCATACTCAGACTTCAGGTTTCGGGTTGCGGACCCAAGATCGGGAAGTATGGGTCCTTTATATTATTAAGCAGCTAATAAGGGTCTATTTTGGATATTGTATTATAAAGCTCCAAGAACTTGAAGTTGACACCCGGTTGTTTAGATGTACGAACTAGTGGATTGAACTTCGCTTGAAGCCCTAAGCCATCCTAAACCTCTCGGCCGCAAACCCTCACACCCTAAAGCCCGAGACCCTAGACCCTAAAAGTCCCAAACCCTAAAACCCTGAAGCTCCAATCCCTACAGCCTAAAACCCTAATACGCAACAAGCCCTAAAGCCCGAAGTCACGCAAAGAGTTGGCCTCGCAAAAGAGGTAAAACGAGGTGTGAGTATCATAGCAGAAATTTTAAGACACTACGTTATGTAGTAGTCCTTCCAGCGGGGAAGCAAGACTGCGCCTCTAAATGATTCCAAAAAGCATCCCCTCAATGGAACCCTAGGAGCCACTTGCAAGAAAGTCTCAAAACTAGCTACCCTTAAAGGAGCCCGTAAGGGAGGGCCGTGAACCTCAGATTTCCCAGAGACTCCAATATCCCTTAATTAAGGAATATACCTTAAATCATATCAGGGATCCTACCATGATTTAAGGTATATTCCTTAATTAAGGGGTATTACCATATTAGAGATCCTACTATAACTTAAGGTATATTCCTTAACTAAGTGATATTAGAATCCCCTAAACCCTACACCCTATAGATCCCTTAAAGCACCCCATAAAGGAACCCTAGGTCTCTATGTATTCCTTAATTACTTGAAGGCTCATGGGACTTAGTAAGTAAGGTTATAAGTAGGTTATAATTAGGATAACCCCACTTAGGGGACTTATAACCCCAATTATAACCTACTTACTAAGTCCCATGATCCTCTAAGTTAGGGATCTTGGAGTCTCTGGGCAGACTTCGGTGGGCAGGACCCGGATCGCTCTGCAGCACCGGCACACCGACCCAATGAGCCTCCCACGGTGCACAGGCGTGTAGGGTTTGCCTAGTAGTTTAGGGTTTAGGGTTTCGGGGTTTAGGGTTTAGTAGAGTAGGTATAGGGTTTGCGCAACCCTGAATAACCTACCCTTTTCGGGTTCCTTATTATGATTTCCTTAAATAAGTCCTTAAAAAGGTAGGTCCTTCAGGGTTAGAGTTTGGGGTTTAAGCTTGCCTAGTAGTAGAGTAGGTAACCTTTAACCTTTTCTTGTGTAGTTTTGTCCTTATATAATCCCTATATACCCAAAAAAGGTTACTTAACCTTTAGTTCCCCATGATACCCGACAAGTAGGTTTGGGGTTTCAGACGTCTCGAGTTTAAGACTTCTCGAGTTTCAGAGTTTATGGTTTAGGGTCTAGAGTTTTAGAGTTTGGGGTTTTTGGAGTCTCAGGGTTAACGGGTAGGGTTTATAGTATTGAGGATTTAGGGTTCAGGGTTGAGGGCTTAGGGTCGATGCAGTGCCCACCCAAACCGACGAGAGCTACCTTTTTCGTAGGACCCCTGTCAAGTTGGCTTCATGGTGTGCAAGAACAAGACCCTACAAAAAGATTTAGAAAAAACTCCCACAGAACAAATTGTGGCTGTAGGTATTCAGGGTGTAGGAGACCCAAGTTTTGAGGAACATCACGATAGGTTTGGCGAGGTTTAGGGGGCAGGGCTTAGGGTTTAGGGGTTTAGGGAGGGTTTTAGGGGTTTAGGGTTTCGGGTCACACTCTCCTTTTTCTGATTCTGGACTATGCAACGCGGTGACGAAGAAGATGAAGGAGCCCGGTCATCCTCCAGTGCAAACGAAAGACGAGGAATGAACGAAGGACTTCCATCACCAATTCCACAAGAAGGTGGAAAGAGGCAAGGCGGCTCAGAGGTTTGGTAGTTGAGCCTTTTTGCAGCATCTGCTTTGTTTTTCAGATCCTTCGCAAAGCCAGGTACTCTATGTACAATAGGCACGCGTATCTGTTGAAGCCAAGCCCATGCGCTCCGAAAGCCCTTAATCAAGGAGTTCACTTCAACCTATAATGCTTCAAACTACCGTACAAGCCATACCATAGAACCCTTGTATAGATGCCTTGTAGACCCTTTGAAGGGTCTCTTCTCCGAGTGACGGTTTCAGGTCCCGGATTGCCAGTTTTTCCGCCGGAAATCGGTTTAGGATTAGAGTTTAGGGTTTAGGGTCCAGGTAATTGAAGATTCCGAAGATGCAGCAACTTTAACCCCAAAACCTACGGCAAGCCCTTAAACCCCAAACCCTTTCAACACCAAACCCTAAACCCTAAGCCCTAAGAACCCCAAAGCAACGCGCTTGAAGGTTCCTCAAACATGGCACTTCGGCACCGAAATTTGCCTATGGTTCCTCTAAGGGGCACAGAACTTCAATACAGAACAGGTAAGAACCTCAAGTAAAATCCTACTAGATCCCTGAAACTCTTGTAGAAGCCTTAAGATTAAGATCCAATAAGATCCCCAAAGCCGTAGTAGACCCCTTCCCTAAACTCAAAACCCTAAAACTCTGAAGCCATCAGCCAGGCACAGCTGGCAGCCAGCTTCAGCACACCCTGAGCGCAGCCACCAGGAGGTTCCGTTAAGGGTTTTTAGGGTTTTGGGCTCATTACGGTTTAGGGTTTAGGAGTTTTAGTTTGGGGTTTAAGGTGTAGCAGGGTAGCGTATTCTTGGATGTCAGAAGGTTTTTTCTGAGGCGACTGAGGGCAGTTCGACACAACTTTGTGGAAGATAGCTTGTCATTCAAAAGAATGAAGCACCATGGATACAAAACCGAAAGCTGTCGCTAATGCTGCATGTGACCATTTTGGTTATCATGATGATAGTGATTGTGACGGCACCGAACATGATCACCTTCATCGTTATCGTGAGCAGCAGCAGCAGCAGCAGCATCATCATGAGCATTGTCCTTGAGAACCTGATGTAGGGTTCGGAATACTTGGTGCCTGCATGCTCCTTTCGTCCCTCGTGATATTGGCGAAAATGGCTGCAAAACCCCATTATTCTGTGGAATATCAACCACTTTTCTAATTCTTAAGGCCCCTCATGACCCCTTCTAAAGAACTCTTAAACCAAACACACCTGAAGCCCCAAACCTAAGTCAGCCCTTAAATGACCCCCTTCTAAAGGACCCGAGGGCTTGGCAGATGATCGACAGCCCTCCCCGCAAAGATGCGGGCCAGATAGAGGAGCCAGGCGTAAGGGCTGTTGATTCCCTTAGAGGGAGTCAATTGAGGGGAGGGATTTAGGGACTATACTGCCTCAAAGAAGGACCCTTAAAATCAAGTTTTAAAGGGTTACTATAAAGGATATTTTAGAGTCACGCGGGCAATGGGGGAAGGGGGGTAAGGTTAAGGGTTCAAGGGGTTTTGGGGACGATACTTCCTCAATAGGCCTGATGATATCCAGACGGAGGAACCCTAAACCCTGAAACCTAAACCATAAACCCTGGGCCTCTGCCGCAAGTGTTGCCTTGGAAGGGCTCAGGGAGGGGCAATATGCTCCTCGCAGTGAGCCTGCGGGTCCCTTGCTTTGCTTGCGGGTTCTTGGCTGGAACCTCGGAGGGGCTCCAGTGGACAACCTGCCGGCCGACCTGGTTGAATGTACAGGGGCTGTGGACAAGGACAGGCTGGTGCTCGTTCAGGAGTGCCCTCGCAGAAAGCAGGGCTGGCATACTGCTGGGGTTCAGGGGTGGAAGTTGCTTCAACACCGATCGGGTGAGCAGTGGAGAGGGGTTGGGGTTCTTTTCCACCCTGATGTGTGGGCGATCGTGGGGCGTAGGTGTTCAACCAAGGGGATGTGGGTTAGGGTTAAGCACTTAGCCACCGGGAAACTGCTGTGGCTTGGGTCCCTTCACCTGCCACCCGGTCTGACTCAGGCCGAGTATCACTCCCATGCAGCCGATCTCTTCACCAAGCTCCCTCCGGAGGCCTCTCCCGTGATCTTTCAGGGTGACATCAATGCCCCGTTCAGCTGGGTGCAGTCAGATAGAGGGGATGTGGCTGCAGGGTCCGATGGCAAGAGTCTTCTTTTCTTGGATTTGCTGTTCCAAAAGGGTCTCCTCTCTTGTGCACCTCTTCGGCACCAACAGCACCTGCCCACAAGCAGGCCGCGCCAGGAAGCACGCCAAGGATCCCGAATTGACCTGTTTGCCAGCCGGGGGTTACTGCAGAAGGGGGTTCGGCTGTTTCCCGACTCCTGCCATGTTTTAGGGACGGACCATGACCTTCAGGAGGGGACCTTCCATGTTCGGGGGGAAAGGGCGTTTCGTCGTCCGCCCACTCGCGCGAGGGTTTGGGTTGGTGGCATTCAGGTTGTGGAAGGGTTAGACCAGGATCGGCTGGTCCATCTTGCCAAAACTTGCACCAAACCTAAGCCGGGCAGAGGGTTCCGGGATAGTCCTGCTACTAGACAGGCCATACGAAGCGCAAGGGTTTTGAAGAGCAGGGATGCCTGGAAGCAAGTTCAAGCACTTCGTCGGGCTGAGAGGCGTACCTGGGAGCTGCAGCGGCTGCAGAAGGCGAGCCAGTGCGACTGGACGTACTTCCAGGAGCTTAGAGCGGAGGGTCAGGGTTCCTGGGATGCAGGGTTTGCGGAGTGCCAGTCTGGCGATCCGCATGCGGCTGTTGCAGAGCACTTGTCGGCTGTCTACCAGGGCACCGAAGCAAAGCCAATAGTTGAGCCGACCGGAGAGGCACGGGGATTTTCGGTGGATGAGGTCAAGCTGGCCGTCGGCCAGATGAAGCGAGGGAAAGCGGTCGGGATAGACTTGACTAGCCGTGAACTCTTTGAGGGTCTCTTGTCGGTCCCAGGGGGTGCCTCCCACCTTGCGGAGTTCTTTACCCAAATCTTGGTGTCGAGGAAGGTGCCGGCAGACTGGAATGTCTCTGTCCTTATTCTCCTGGCTAAAATACCTCAGCCACTCGGGCCACGTGACCTCAGACCCATTGCTCTGGGTAGTGCAGCCTCCAAGCTCTTTTCGAGGTTATTGTTAAACAGGAGCCTCCCCTTCTTGGGGCCCCGAAGCCCCTACCAGTGTGCCCGACAGCACCGTCAGTCTTGCGACTATGTATTTAGTGTATGGCGCATATTTGAGTTGTGTCGGGAATGGGGCCTTCCCTTGACGTGCGCAAAAATTGATGTCCAGAAGGCCTTTGATTCGGTCAGCAGACCCCGTCTGATTGAAAAGCTCCGCTCCCGCCTCGGGGACACGCCAGAGATGGCCTGCTGGGAGCAGCTCCTCCATGACACGAGGGCTCTTCTCGTTAGCCCTTGGGGAGTGTCCGGGTTTCTCATGCAGTCGGGGATTAAGCAGGGGGCAGTCGAGAGTCCGAGTTTCTTTGGGTTGCTGATGGAAGAGGCTCTTGAAGAAACGGCAAGGGCTTTTGAGTGGCACAGGAGGCCCAAACTGTTTGCAGACTTCGAATGGGAGGCGGCGCTCTTCATGGATGACGGCTTCTTATGGCATGGGGATGTAACAGTTGTCCAAACAAGGCTTCAGCAATTGCAAGGGGTTCTTCTGGGTTACGGGCTGGTTCTCAATATTAAGAAGTGTCAGCTGTACTGTAGCCTTGATTCCCCCAAGCCGCATAGGGTTCGGGTTGGGGGCATCACACTGGAGTCCTCCCCCTCTGTGGAGCTGATGGGGCTGCAATTTCGCAAAGGGATGTCGCCCTGTGAACTCATCCAGCCATTGATTGCCCGGGCTCGGAGCAAATTCTGGGCCTTGAAACACCTGCTCCGGTGTAAGACCCCGATCAAAGGGCGAATCCGTCTTCTCCAACGGGTAGTGGCAGGAGCCGCGCTCTGGTGCATTGCCGCTATCCCACCCGACAAGGCGGCCATGGGATTGCTCAACTCGTTGCAAGCTTCTCTGATAGGGTGGATGCTCCGGTTGTTTAAGAGGACTGACGAAACATGGGTTCAGTTCAGGGCCAGGGTGGTTCGCTCAGCCCGAGCAGCCTTGCACAACAGTGAAGGGGTGAGGTGGAGCACGATGTGGTTGCAACGATGGTGGGACTTCTCGGGGCATCGGGTTCGATCCTTGATGGCTGAGTTCCCACCTCTTAGTGGGCTCATCGATGAATTTCGGAGTTTGCCTTGGTGGCGTCGTGTTCAGACAACCAAGAATGGCCCCACCCATCGGAGACACTACGCCAGACTCACAAATCTAGAAGAAGCTATGAACAGGGTGTGTCAGGGTCCATGGCGAGGGTCGTGTCACGACAGGGCTTCCTGGGCCAACTTGCGAGGGACTTGGGTGCTTCAGAACGATTTGCAATGGGCGACGGGTCGGCAGCTTGCTTTGCCTGCATGGGAGGTTTGAGGGCTAGGGTCTGCGAGGGCTAGGGCTTGCAGCGGATGACGACACGATCGGATGTGCTTGTGTGGCCTGGCTCTAGTGTGGCCGTACGCTTTCAACTCTCAGCCTCGGCAACATGATGATGTTTTCGTGGAGCCTCGTGCCCCAAGGGATTTGGCTTGTGGCGCAGGGCGCCTTCTATGGCTACGCCGAAGGGTTGGGGGGAGCAACATGCTTCTCCCGCATGACCGGCAACCTTCATATTGAATTCAAACATAGCATGGGACCATCGTGGATGGCAGGGACGCTGATGCTGCTTCGCTATGGACGCGGTGCAGGGGTTCAGGGAGTCGGGATGGCAGGGATGGTGGCGTTCCTCGGGCTCGGGGTCTCCGGACAGCCTGTGGATGCCCTCGGCAATTTCCCACCGTTCTGGTATGTCAATGCCCGCGCTGGCGCCGACACCCTCCTGTGGGAGCGAGGAGTCAACCCAAACCACCTCCTCGGATGCACCGCCCGTCTCATTGAGGCCAGAGGGGACCCACGCTACAGCCAGTTCACTTCTCTCCTGATGGCTGACTTCGAGGTGGCTACGGGGGGGGACCTTCGACGGGCCCTTGTGTGCGAGCGGGAGCAACAGGATGTCTGGCAGTGGGCCAGATATGTGGACGAGTGGATGCATGTGGAGTACCTCGAGACCTTCTTTCCCGTCCAACAGAATGAGCTTGAACGGATTTCCCCGGAAGGGCTTGGCACAGTTGACTCCCTTCCAGTGCCTGCCGAGGAGGAAAATTTGGTCGAGAGGGTTCGAAGGGAGCATTTCAACACCTTCTTGGTGTTGCCCGCTCTGCAACGGCGCCTCCATGGGCTCGAGCCGAATACCCAGGGTGCTGTGGGGGCCACCTCGGACGGGCCTCTGACACGGGCACTTGGGGAATGGATGCTCGACGCCATCGACTTCCTTCGTGACGAGAGGGCTAGGGGTGAAGATGGATGTGCTGTGCACTTGCTGCGTGGCCGGATGCTTGGCCGAAGGGATCAGAGGTACAGGGGCCTTGCTATCGAAGTTCTTGCTGGGCTGGATGATGTGGTCCCGGCAGGGTTCATACAGACGGTCGAGCCTCCCGAGTACCTCGTGGATTGGGCCAGGGATGTGGAGGGTGAGTTGTACGAGCTCCTCCACTATCGATCCCAGGGAGCCTGTGGCTCTGACGCCACCAGTTTCGTACAAAGGGAGGTCAAGCAAAAGTGGCTTAAATCCAGCTCGGCTCCTCGTCGAAGGCGGTCTGGGAGCCGCAGACCGGAAGCTAAAACCAGGCCAGTGCCGAAATCCCGGCCGGAGGCAAAAGCTAAGGCGGCACCCAAAAGCTGCCCGTTGCCGCCTCCACCACCACCGAGAACGCCAACGGGGGCCAGGGTGACGGAGTCTACAAGGGTCTTGCGCCCTCGCCCCAGATCGGCTGCAGCAAGCTCCTCCAGGGGGCTTGCTCTGGATGAGGAGGTCGACGCACAGCCTGGGGTCATAGTGGGGGAGTTTACAAGGAACTCTGTCACCGAGACCTTTTTGGGCTACGGGGCGGGCGCAGGACCGCCTCACCTTGGTGCTGGCCTTCCAAGGAGTTGTGGGTCGCCTCCTGCGAATGATAGGGATGATCGTCGAGGATGCCTTGACTGAGGAGCGATCGGGCCCTGATTGGAGCCCGCCAGAAGGGGATGGGGATGGGGATGACACATCCCTCATGCAGTCTGCATTGGTGACCACCGATAATGATTGGTACCTCTTCCTGGCTGACTTCCGCAATGCCCTCGAACCTATGACAAAGGAAGCTCGCCTTGCAAACAGCCAGGTGATATGGCGTTGGTTGGACCACAGAGTGACGGATTCCCTCTCGGGCAAGTGCTTGGGGCATGCACGGGGGAGAGCGGGCGAAGTGCTTGCTCTCCTGGTGGCTGCCATGGAGTCCTCGGCGGGCTTTCTGGCAGGGGAACACCACCTCGGGGTGTGCACAGCGTGGTTTCAGCGTTTGGCCCTCTTCGTGCCCACCGTTCCGGGTAGCCGCAGGGACCGTGGCCTTCCGGTTAGCCAAGAGCTGCCGGCTCCGGTGCTGTTCCAAAAGCCACTGCCCTTGGAGTCGGACTCGGACGATGCCGAGGAGACAGCGAACCGGAGGCTCATGAGAACAAACCGGCAGAGTGAACGGGACTTGGACGCCTTGGTGGAAGAGGAGCGACGTGACAGGGCAGAGTTGGTGGAGCACTCTGAAGCAATGGAGGCCATGCAAGCGGCTGCAGAGGAAGAGGAGGCAGCCGAGACCCAGCGGTTGGCAGATGACTTCCTTGAGGAGGAGGGCGGGCTTCGCGACCTGTCGCCGGCCTCCTATCGTGCGTGGGAAGACCGGGTGTTCAAGAGAGCTCTGCAAGGGCCGCCCACACGGAAACGGGCATACCTGGACGTGGAACTGGCTTCGGGTAGCTCAGATGCCCCTCGCGTGTCTCGCCGGTGGCGGGTGCCCCTACCTCAGTCGGGGGTCGCCTTCAGCTTGACCGCCACGGTGGTCCATGAGGAGGACATTGCCGACACGCCACCTGCTGCAGTTGCGGGCGGGACTGGTGTGACAGTGCCCGGGCCTCTGGCTACTGATGTGGCTCTCACCGCCGGGGGTACCGCAGCTGAGGGGACAGACACCGATGTGGATACAGTATTGGTTCCAGGGTCAGGGGTGCCTGTGACGACCCAACTCGATGTGGGTGAGTTGTGCTCAGCCTCAGCGGTTGCAGGGGAGCCAGGGTTCGACGACAGGGATCGGTTCCAATTCACAGACCTTTCCATGGAGCAGTTCCAACAGTTGTATGGCCAGTGGATGGGAGGGCTAGTGTCGACGGCAGAAGTGCAAGCCACACATGGATGTGACGTTGCGGAAATGCTTGAACTGCAATTTGTGGCGGAGCAGGGTGGTTTCGAGTCCCAAGCCTGATGTGTCCGTGCTCGCCTGACCTTGAGGTCTTCCGTAGGCAGAGACAGATTTGCAGGCGGAAAAAGGCGCTTAAAAAAAAAAAAACCGTAAACCCTGAACCCTAGCCTAAACCCTAAACCCTAAACCCTGAACCCTAGCCTAAACCCTAAACCCTAACCTAAACCCTAAACCCTAAACCCTAACCTAAACCCTAAACCCTTAAACCCTAAAACCCAAGCCCTAAACCCTAAACCCTAGCCGGGGGCTTTGCAGGGCCGAAGGCTGAGAGCTTGAGGCTTTCAGGGGTTCCTTGAAGGGATCTACACTTCGACAAAACTGTCTGGTGCTTAGTAGGGAAATTGGGAATGGATCCCTGTAGTAGTCCCTACATAATCCCCGTGAGAACGAGACAGAAAAGGATCCGCAGGGGGTTTGATTGAGGGGTTTGGGAGTTTAGAGTTTAGGACTAGGATGTAGTCCTAGGATTCCGGCTCTGCGTGCAGCTTGGGCATGTTTCGACAATAGCTTCTTGACAAGCCTTCTTTGGCTCAACGGTTCATACACTTGTCACGGGTGTTCTTGTTTTCAGATGCCCACCACCAGGCTCAACAGGGCTCCGAAAAGGTGTTTTGCTGTAAAACCCCTAAACCCCTGAACCCTAAACCCCTACAACTCCTAAACCCTAAACCCCTAAACCCCCAACCCCCTAAACCCTATAGATCCCCTTAAAAGGACCCTTATAGATCCCTTTAAAAGGAACCCCTATAGATCCCTTTAAAGGGAACCCCTAAACCCCTAAACCCCTACAACCCCTAAAACCCCAAACCCAAAACCTTGAGTTTTCTGGCTTCATGGGTATTCAGCAGCTCCGAGGCTTAAGTGTGTGGGGCCTAGGTTCGGTTTTGTAGCAGGGTTTAGGGGTTTAGAGTTTAGGATTTAGGGTTTTGGATTTAGGGGTTTGGGGTTTTGGGTTTAGGGGTTTAGGGTTTCGGGGTTTAGGCTAAAGGGGTTTGGGGGTTTAGGGTTTAGGGTGCGCTTGGGGTTTCTAGGCGTTTAGTTAGAGCTCAGGGTGCTTGTACATATTGGCGTTTCGAGTTTCGAGGGTTGTCACTTGGAAGTTGCCCAAAGGTCGCTGATGATGTGCGTGCAGGGGTTAAGGATTTGGTGCCTGAAGCCATGCAGAAGGTTTCTACATGCTTAGAGCACGTGTCGCACGGGCTTTCCAACGGCTCTCTGTCGATTCAGGGACAGGTTGCCTCCGTGCTTGTAGCAGGCTTGCAGCTTCGTGATGTTGAACCGTTGAACCTTAAAAGCCTGGGGCTTGTAGGCCTAGCTCAGAACGGAGAGTCTCTCTCTCTCTCTCTCTCTCTTTCTTTCTCTCTCTCACTCTATCTCTCTTTGTCTCTATCCCTGTCTCCATCTCTGTCTCTATGTCTATCTCTGTCTTTCCCTCTCTCTCTCTCTCTCTTTCTCTCTGACTCTCTCGCTTCTCTAAGTTACCAGACTGGTGACAGGGATGTTGGTCAGAGGCCTCCAGCCGGCTCAGTGGACCTCGCACCCAGCTGGGCTTCCGATGCGCCTCGGCTCTTTGAGTGTCCCTGCTTTGCTCGTTTTTTTTAATGACGCTTTACGTGTTTAGGGGTTTGGGGTTTAGGGTTGAGGGGTTTAGGGGTTAGGGGTTTAGGGGTTTGGGGTTTAGGGCATAGGAATCCGAAAAAATTTAGGATAGAACCCCTTGTAGCGGTCCCGATGCTTTGTTCGTACTTAAGCTGGGTTCTTGCTTAGGAGTTTAAGTTAAGTTCCCTTAGTAGCGATCTGTAGTAAATAATATGGTTTCTCTATTCTGGTAATTTACACTAAACGCCTGAAGACGGACCCAGCCAGGCGGTGTCGGAGAGAGGATCCCTATAGTACTCCCGATATAGTCCCCTATAGTAGTCCCGATGTCCAACCGGACACCCCAAAACATCCATCTACATCAAGACGAAGTGACTCTTGGTAACCTGATAAGTTAGGCTTGTGGCTTGTGGTCAAATGGGAGTTTACGAAAATAGGGAAACCTAATATAGTACCCTAAATAGTAGGATCCTTATTAGAAGGGCCCCAAGGTAAGGTACCCCTAATTTTCGGAGACTCCCAGATAATTCACATGCCACGCCTGAACCAGGAGTTTCAAACTTACTTCGAGGTTTCTGGCGAAGTGGAGCATCAGACTAAATGTAGGAATTCGGCACAGTGCTGAGGCGTCGCGGAAAATTAGTGTATTGCATGTTACGGTGGGCGTAGGCTTCCGCTTCTTTGGAGCTAAGGCAAGCCCAAGCATACCAGCATCTCGGCTGCACCTAGACCCTAAACGTCGTCAGCCCTATGATGGAGGGCTGAAAGAGCTGCAATACAGGGGCCTTGATAATCAGAATAGGGTTTTGGTGTAAATCATACTTTAATTGTAATGAGGAATCCCAAAACAGTATGGGCCAGTATGGGTTATTATATAGGCCCCTTCACCAATTGTGCACCCTGGAAGATCCAAACATGTGGGTAGTTGTCAAAATTAGGGTCCCTTTTTGGGTCCCTAGTATGATACGGCACCTAGTATTTAGGGCACCCGAAAAGGGACCTTAATTTTGACAGCTACCCATGTAAATAGTGCGTTCAGCAAGCCTGGTTGCAAACTATGGGGGCTGGAGGCTAACAGGCGAAGCCTTCGAATGCTTGAATCGCCAAACACATAGGCATTAGGTGCAACCCCGTAAACCCTAAGCCCAAATACCCTAAACCCTAAGCCCAAAAACCCTAAACCCCTATACCCCTATGACCCTTAAACCCTAAACCCCTAAGCCCTATAGATCCCTTTAAAGGGAACCCTAAACCCCAAGTAACCTACCTGTTTAAGGACTTATATAAAGAAATCATATTTGGGAACCCTAAACCCTAAACCCCTACAGCCCTAAAGCCCTAAAGGGAACCCTAAACCCGCAAACTTTAAACCCCAAGGCACCAGCAGCAGACGTTCCCTGCGGTCCAACCGGGCTGGCAGCAGCCGCAGGGAGGCGCCGACTCTCTGCAGGGTTCCCTTTAAAGGGATCTATACGGGTTCCTTTTAAAGGGATCTATAGGGGTTCCCTGTAAAGGGATCTATAGGGTTTAGGGCTTAATTAGGGGTTTAGGCTTTGGGGGTTTGGGGTTAGGTGCTGACTCTGTGTGAGGTTTTAAGATTTAGGGTTTCGGATTTTAGGGTGTATGCCGTGGTCGCGTTGAGTTTATTAGGACTTAGGGTTTAGGGTTAGGGCTGTTGCTTCTGCTGCGTGTTCTGCTGATGTGATGTTGATGGCTCGGTTGTTGTCGTGCTGCATGTTGTAAGTGTTGCCGAAGTGGGATGCGTTGTATCTGGTACTGTAATTTCCTTGTGACAGTTGACGGTGCTGTGGTTGCCACTTTGATACTCGTAGTGTGAAGAGATCAATCCAAGGCAGCAACCAAGCACTCTTTTCTTATGAAATGGAAAGATTCGCGACTTCGACGATGCGACGGTTTTTGTTTTTGCCAGGAGCCATGCAGGGATTCCAGCACGTTGAGCATCAGAGATCGCCCCAGCGCGCCTTGGATTTCTCTGTTTTCTTACCTGTGGTTATTACTTTGGGTTAGTAGGGAATGAAAGGGGCCTTAAAAAGGGGTCTATAAGGGTTACTGTAAGGGATCTATAAGGGTACTATATTAGAGGGGCTGAAATAATCCTATAACTTACCTTGGGTTAGTAGGGAATGGAGGAATGGGGTACAACTGTAGCTGCTTTTATTACCATTCTTCCATTCCTTACTAACCAAAACTAACCCTTATGGTAGTTATAATAGCCCTTATAGAACCCTTTAAAGGAACCCTATCATTTCCTACTAACCCAAAGTAATAAGGCGTTTCGGGTTTGGGCCTTTGGGTTTTTAGGTTCGGCTTTCGAGACGGGAAGTCTTGGATTGTCAGTTGTGGGGTTTGTTATGTCGTTTCATGAGACTCAACAGCAAGCCTAAACTGCCACTGGTGAAGTCAGTTTCGATCTCAGAAGAACACTAAGGCACCCCTCACCACAGCATGCAGGCCCCACTGGGCAGCATGCATGGCAGCGTGCAGGCCCCACCCAGCAACACACAGGCCCCACATGGTGGCAGTGCGCAGCCCCCACATGGCAGCATGCAGGCCCCACAAGGCATGCATACCCCGCAGCCCCCACACTGCAGCATGCAGGCCTCGCCGAACAGCATGCAGGCCCCACAGGGCAGCATGCAGGCCCCACACGGCGCCAGGCAGGCCCCACAGAGCATGCAGGCCCCCCAGGGCATGCAGGCCCCACAGAGCATGCAGGCCCCACAGAGCATGCAAGCCCCGCAGGGCATGCAAGCCATGCAAGCAGGGATGCCAGTGGGCGCGCAGCCGCCGAGCATGTTGGAGGCTCAGGACAAGTCCACGTGCACATTAAGAGTGTATCCACGAGTACTTGTAGATGGCTATAATCTAAATCCGGCATCTTCTCTGTGTCAACTATGTATCTGTTCCTTGCACTATGAAAACAATTGGCCTAAGTAGTCTATTTGACATTTGACACCACTTTGATTGCTGTTCTCGGTCTTATCTTCTACGATGGCCAATCTCCGGTCTAGCTGACCTAGTTGGGCTTGAGGAGCAAAGCAATCCGAGAGAGAAGCAAGGGTAACCCGGAAGTTCGCTTGACGGGCGTAGGGCTTGGGGTTCTGTCTAGGCGCAGCTAAGCCACAAGTGCTGCCACATATATGCCTGGCCCGACTTGCCCCGTGCTGTAAGGCTTGGACACTCTCCACCCCGCATGCCACATGCTGCTGCCGGCGCTGGCCACTTGGGCACTTAGACTGCATTTGACCTGTTCGGCTGTATTTATGTATGAACATTTAGTATGAGTATGAATACTGATATTGATATTGTTCGCGAATATTTGGGCTATTACGAATACTAGTTAATAGTAGGTATAAAACCAGTGTTCTATTATTAGTTCTGATGTTAATGTGTTTATCATCACGAATATATGACTATTGTTTATTGGAATTGTTGTTGTGGCTATTCTTATTATTCTGACGATGTGTTGTTAAGCTTGTTGTTATGACTGTTGTCATGCTTATGATTGTGACTATTGTTATGACTGTTGTTCTTCTCAATGGTTAGTACTTATTAGTGTTAAGATTATTTCATTACTATTGTGCTTGATTAGCTCTCGTTATTATTCTTAATGCTATTAGCACTATTGTAGTTGCTAAGCATGCTTCTGATTATTGTTATTGTTATTGTTGATGCGGTTTCTGTTCTTATTAGTACTAGTGTTTTGCAATCTATTCTGAGACATGTTATTGCTTTCTTAAACTATTACGGAAACCTCAGAGGAACCCTCGGAGGATCTTAATTGAGGTGCAGATCCTAAACGCTAAACTCCAAGCCCTAAACCCCTACACCCCCTAAACCCCTAAACCCCTAGACCCTAAACCCTAAACCCCTAAACTCTGAACCACATCAAAAAAAACTCTGAACCCCTAAACCCTAAACCCCTATACCCTATAGATCCCTTTAAGGCGAACCCCTATTGATCCCTTTAAAAGGAACGCTTAACCCTAAACTCCAAGCCCTAAGGTGCCGCAGCGCCATCTCCTGCACGGACCGCCACTGAGGCTCTTGCCGCGGGAGATGCCGTGCTTCGAAGCCGAATAAAGGGGCCGGAGGTCTTTCAATAGGGTTCCTTTAAGGGTTTAGGCTTTAGGGTTCCTTTAAGGGTTGCTACAAGGGGCATGATTTACTATACTTAAAGCATCATGGGACTTAGTAAGTAGGGTTATAAGTAGGTTATAATAAGGATAACCCCACTTAGGGGACTTTAACCCCAATTAGAACCTACTTACTAAGTCCCATGATCCTCTAAGTAGGGGTTGCTACAAGGGGCATTATTTGCTGCAAGGGGTATTCATGGGGGGAGTACAGTGTACAGAGGCTTGAATAACTAGAATATTCGGGCTTCTATGCTTCGATTCCTTCTACAGTGCTAGGGAATTTGTAAAGGCGGGGGATAGGGCGCTCGGCTTTAGGGGTTCGTGAAGCTGGGTTTGAGTCAGTAGTAAACCCTAAACCCTAAACCGACCGTGTCCGTTCGGGACTTGAAACGAAAGGTTGATCGTCTAAAACATTCCAAAGCCAGTCTAACCACTTCGGCTGTGTAGGCCCGACATGACTTGCTCGTGGTTGTCCTTGTTTGCTTTGCTTCTTTTGTTTCGATTTCAGGAATTCCGGATTGCTTTTCGGAATGGGGGGGTGGCTTTTCTAAACTAGGGAACCCTAAACTCTTAAACCCTTAACCCTAAACCCTAAACGGGATCCCCACCTATAAGCCGCGGAGGACCATGAGCCCGACAAGTTGAGCGAAAAATGGGGGCTTGAATAATCAGAATGGAGTTTCTGTCACTAGGATCCAGAGTAGGCCCTTATTCCCTTTGTTAGGGTTTAGGTTCTTCTATAACCCGCTTTAACCCAAAAAGTGCACCCTTTTTTCTCCTAGGTTACTCTTGGGTCTAGGTAAAGGGCTGCTCTTAAGGGTTGCCATAAGAAGTACTATCGGAGCCTAGCATACGTGCCATAAAGCGGAGAATAGGATTTTGGGGGCATGTTCTAGTAGAATGTTGATTAAGATGCCTAAGGAAGAATATTACGAAGTGTTTCAGTTCAAGCTGCTGCATGAACAGTAATGTAGGGGCCTTCATAATTAGAAAAGGTTCGGGGATATTTTGTACTATAATCATAATAGGGAACCCCCAAAACCCTATTCCAATTATTCAGGCCCCATCTTAGGGTGGTGCAGCCGAGGTCTCGACACGCAGCTCTGGGTTAAACTCACGGAACCCAAAGGACTCAACTACAAGCAGCACTGCGCACTCCTCCTGCGCGTCGGCGGTAAAAGAATCAAACAAGTAGCATCGAGACCAAGAGCAAGAAGTAATATAGGCGCCTGAATAATTGCCTATACTATTTTGGAGTTCCTTGTTATAATTACAGTACAGTGGCCTCCAAAACCCTCTATTCCAACTACCAAGGCCCTGGGCTAGTTTCCCGAAGCTGTTTGTAAAGATAAAGCCCGAAGAAACACTAGGCTTCTTGCGTTGACTAGACCTCTATCTGGGTGGTTGTCAAAATTATGGTCCCTTTTCGGGTCCTTATTATAATACGGCACCTAATATTTAAGGTACCCCAAAAAGGGGACCTTAATTTTGACAACCACCCATCTGTTTTCTGCCGCAGAACCACTTCAATGTCGGGGGCCTCTCCTCCTACAAGGCAGAGCTGCGATCGGGTTCCTGGTTTAGGGTTCAGGGTTTTAGGGATCTAGGGTGGTTTTAGGGGGACACTCCTAAATCCGCGCATTAAGGGAAAATTCCGTAAATCATATGTTTCAAGCCCTGGTTTGCATTTAAGATTTACTGTTTGCCAAGACGAAATGCTAAACACCCAGCCCTAAAAGCCTAGACTCCTTGACCCCCAAAACCCTAACGAACGTGAGACAACCCTCTTGCAAAATCCTTGTGAGGGCCTAAACCCTAAACCTTAGGGGTACTTAGAAATATTTTTTTTATTTTTGGTTATTATAATCCCTAAGAAACAGCTAAAATTGTAGTTTTTGCCAGGGTTCTAAGTTCAGTATAGAAACCCTGAACTCATCTCAAGGGCTCCTGGAGGGCAAACTGGGCCCACAGAGGGAAAAACGCTGACTGAAACGGACGGGCTCCTGAGGGGTTTAGAGGTTTAGGGGGTTTAGAGGGTTTAGAGGGTTTAGAGGGTTTAGAGGGTTTAGAGGGTTTAGAGGGTTTAGGGTTTCGGATCTAGGGCTTGACGTTTAGGGTTTAGGGTCTACAGTATGGGGTTTTAGAGTGATGAATATGGTGCAGCCGAGTTTTTGACGGTTGCTGCAAGGGCGTCACAGGGGCAATATACGGTTCTAAAGGTTAGGGGTAAACATGGAGGGTTGTGGGAGTTTGTTTCAAAAACTCATGAGATTTGCGGGGCTCTGGTTTCGCACAGGGCCCTTTCCTTGTCATGTTCATCAGGTTTACTAGGTAGGGCTTTGGGACATTTTATATTTTCCCTTATTGGGCTTAAGAGGATCTTATTTACCCTGAACCCTAAATCCGAAAGGCCTCAACATTCAGCAAGATGTTCCTAGTCTCGCCTATACAGTTAGAGTCGCAGTAAAACATCACCCAATCCTTCGGTTGAAAGCTGGACCCCCACGCCTCAAGCCCACACAACAGTAGGCTCCTGCAATAAAGGTGCCTAAATCCGCACATAATCCTGATAGAACCTGCGGGAGAACGCCAGGCGCTGGTTGAGCTGCGATGCGTATGCCATCCCTGGATCTTCAAGAGCACGCGAACATGATCCGTCCAGGGCCACAGCCATCCCATCCATTGCAGAGTTCCGAGAGAGATTGGATGCCCGCATCATATGAAATGCCCTGTCTGGTCGTTCCTGTCAGCAGCGGAAGAGCTGCCCCGGCTCTTCCACCGTCACGTATGTGGAGGGTGCCCAATCTCGCAAAGCAGGGACTGCGAGGCCGTGAGCCCGTGATGTCTTTACCTGCACCCGCCAACTCAGCAGTGACTGCTCTTGCCATGTGAAGGGCTTCCGACAAGCACCAGCTGGGCGACCTCCTGAAAAGTCGTGTGCTACGATGACATCTGAAAATATCTTAAAGATCAGCAAGTCCCCGATTCATGTAAAAGCCAACGCATGAGCGTTTCAAAGCCGCTCCGGTGCTGCTTCGTTTGAAGGAAAAATGTAGGCATCTTCAGCTTCTTACGCTCGTGAACAGCAAAACGCCGCGTTTTGGCAGTGCTGACTGTAGTGTTGGCTGTCAACTGTACCTTAACCTACCAAAGCCTACTTTATTGTAGGGTCACTATATTTTCCATATTAGGGGTTATAATAAGAGCCTACAAAATAGTAGGGTTTGGCAGTTTAAGGTAGTGTTCATCGAGTGCTGACTGCCTATTCTCCTGGCGCATGCATGCCCACCCAATCGCTCTCCCCACAGCATCCTGAGTTCTATTTTGTTGGTTTCTAGAGCTGAGGTAATGGTCGATAGGGATAGTTGGGGGCATCCTGAGGCGAAAATGAGATGAAGTCCGCTGCGTCATAAGCCATAAGCCACAACTGGCAGACGAATTTTGCACACAGAAAGTTCAACCGCTGCAGATTTGTGCCGCAAACCCCTCCACCACAAACCTGAAGCCTCGGATTCAGGCCCCTTACCACAAAACAGGCCGAGAACCCGTCAATGTTGGGCTCCTCGAGTGGATTGTTTGGGTCGTTCCGCCATAATTACCTAGTAGCTGAGTGGATACACTTTACACTTTTTCTGATAAAACTGAAAGTGTACACTTATAGCGTCCCCTTGAAATAGACACCTAGACGGAAACCGTAGCTAAGACATGCCTGAATAGTAACTCAGACTATGCTAGTATTGCCTCTTTTCAGCTTAACCTGCAACCCTATGAACCCCTGATGACCCAGAGACCCCAACATCCCTTAATTCAGGAATATACCTGAAATTATAGTAGGATCCTGAATATGATTTAAGGATTATTGAATAACCCTAAACCCTAAACCCCTAAACCCCTAAACCCTAAACCTTAAACCCCTAAACCCCAAACCCTAAACCCCAAACCGCAAACCCTAAACCCTAAACCGTGTGGGCAGGGCAATAACTGGCACCTGCTGGCTCGTGTCACGAAGAAGAACAACAAGCGCAAGTTCGGGGGCAGGACCCCGTGTGTCGGGTTGAGTCCTCAGGGCTTTCGAACGGTTTCGAAGGGGTGTTGGAGGAGTTTAGTGTTGCAGGGATTAGGACTAGTTTAGGACTGTGGATGTGGGGTTTACGGGTGGTTTGTGGTGTAGGTGCTGCTGGTTTAAGGTGGTTTGGGGGTGTGGAGTTTCAGGGGCTAGGGTGGTGCGGGGTTGTTTGTTTTAGTTGTTGTGATTTCTGGATCACAGCCACGGTGAGGGTGAAGTGCGAATCCAAGACCACGAATGCGGGGCCTTCAGAACTAGACTAGGGTGCTGGGGTTGATTCTATTATCAGTATAACAAGAAACCCCCAACCAGTTACTTGCACAGAACATTGTATTACTACACTACTACACGTGAATCGCAACTTGCGAGTGAAAAGGCATGGCTCCCTAGCAACATGAGTGTGTGCTCAGGCTATGTGAGGCTTGTGGTTCGGATGGTTACGAACTACCGTGCACTCAGGACGACACACGAAGGCTAGTGAACAGTGGCTAGACGTACATACGCGACTGGGAATTGCTCGGCATGCACTTCGAGGCTTCCATATACATTGTTCAACAAACCACCAAAGCATCACAGATTTCGAACAACTGAGGAAGCCATAGCCGCTTCAGAGCGCAGTTGCACGAGTTGCAGTTGTTGAGCTTTTGACACAAGGCCGTTCTGTGGTTTTGTAGGTTTGATAGGTAGCCGCTCCACAACCCTCATGAATAAATGAGCGAAAGAGTCACAGGACAAGAGGGAACTCCGCAGTCCAGGGACCCTAGACATCCGTGGACCGTATCACGGAGGTCGGAAGAATTAGTAATGTGTATTATAATCGACTTACTGTCCCCATATAGCTGCAGTACAACAGTATCCCTAAACCCCTAAACCCTAAACCATATGCCCCCGAAACCCTAGGTGTATTTGTTAAATCATCCATAGCTTGAGGATGAAGGGCATGCCCTTGACAGCACACTACTCAGCCCTGTAATTGGCGGGGCTGGGTTTACAGTTTGGCGGTTTCTAGTAACCAGTGACAAGGAAGACACGTCAACAGTAAGTCTTCTTGCAACCACGTGCTTGCTAACAGTTTGCAACTTGATATTTGGAAGACACCTGCAAGTCAAAACCCCACACCCTAAGCCCTAAATCCTAAATCCACAAAGCCCTAAACCCTAAACCCTGAAACCTAAGAAGTGCTGCACTGATCAACACCAGGGGCCGCGAGGGCCAACTCTTCAGCGTGACCCTTACAGACAACGAGGCAGGAAGCACCCTATACAAGAAATGGGAATCATAGGGACTCCAATATCCCTTAATTAAGGAATATTCCTTAAATTATAGTAGGATCCCTTATATGATTTAAGGTATATTCCTTAATTAAGGCATATTGGAGTCTCTGGGATCATAGGGTATAGAGCGAGTCTAGGGCCTTGGGTTTAGGAGACGCTACAGGAGTTTCGCTTGGTTTTCTCATATGGGAGTTTCCGAAAATAGGGGACCCTAATATAGAACCCTAAATAGTAGGGTCCTTATTATCAGGACCCCAAAAGAAGGTACCCCTAATTTTCGGAAACTCCCATATAGAGTTGTGTATGTATGTGCTTCTGTTTCTGGAATTTGAACTGTGGGGGAGCCGGTGCTCGTAAATGTAAGGCACTTCAGTTTCGACAGCTATCGACATTTGGGAGTTTCCGCCATTTAGGGGTACCTTATTCTGGGGCCCTTATAATAAGGATCCTACTATTTCGGGTGCTATATTAGGGTCCTCTGTTTTCGGAAACTCCCATGTGGTTCGTGCAGCAGGCTAACAACCGCGTCCCCCTCGCCACACCTTCGTCATTTAGATGCTGTGGTTGTCTCTCGGGACTCACAGTCAGTGCTTGAAGCTTGTCCCGATAACCTCGTACACTGTGAGAATATATTTGAGTCAGAATTCTTCCCGACTGGAACGGCAGCAGGCAGAATGGAATCCTCTTCCTCAGAGAAAGTGTAGAGATACCTTACACAACCACACTAAACCCTTATCCATCAACCCCCCTAAACCCTAAACCCTAAACCCTAACCCTTAAACCCTAAACCCCTACAAACCTGAGGGCGCAGAGACCCGGGGCACCTTCTTCAACGCCGCTGCAGACAAGTTCTACGGCCTCTTAGAGGCTGGCGATTGCTAGCATCTCCTTTCAAGGAAGCTTTAGTAAAGGAGCCCTTAAGTGCTTCCTTAACTTAACGGAACCCGGGCTTAGGGCCTACGGTTTTACTTTTGAAGCCTGAATAGCTACCAGCAGTCTTATTCTGATGAATAAGCTCCCTCTGTTATGGTTTATGGGTGGTTGGTCGAGTAATGTAAGAAGAGTCGGTGCAGTCTTACTAGCAGATTTGTGTTACGTGTTGGTATGCACACAAACTGCTGCTGCTAGCACTGCTTGAGGTCGCAAATTGCGAGGTTGTAGAGTTCGGGAAGGTTGTGCTTTTTGATGCCAATCGTCCAACAGGCTCGTAGTGGCAGTACCTTGGGTATTGTCAGCCGTGTAGATTCCCGAAGCAATCAGGTGTTAGTCGGTCCTGTCCCCCTCAGACTTAGTAAGACCTAACGGGGCAGCAATGAAAGAGATGTGATGGTCAATAAATTGTGAATCGCAGCAGGTCGCGGTACGTTGTTGGTGACAGGCAGTAGTACTTGCTATCAGGGTATCTAGCAGACGGAGCAGTGCACAGGGGAGCATTTTCTGCAAGTGTATGACCTTCTACCTGAACCCCCGAATCGAAGCCCATAGGCCCAGTTTGTGCATACGGAACACAGGAGGGACAAGTCTACGTCTTCAGCGGCGGCAAGGTGAAGTCCGACCGGCATGTTTGTTCAAGCTTCTGAAGTCGTGTCCTGCTTGGAGGGTGGCGGGACTTAGTAAGTAGTTCTTTAGAGTTCAGCATGGGCGTTGATGCCAGCAGTCGCTCAGCTCGAAGGAGACAAAATCGAGGCAGTTGCAGTTGGGTGCTGCGGTTTAGGGTTAAAAGGGTAGGGGTTTAGGGGTTCGGGTTTTGAGGGTTTAGGGTTAAATGTCGTCACATCGATGTAGACTTCGTGCTCGTTCCGGAAAGTACGGTGGAGTGCCTAGTTGCTGAGCTGAAACTGATAACCAAAGGTTGCGCTTCAACATGTTGTCAGCCAGCTTGTTGCAGCTGGTGATCGCGAATGCAGCCTCCGTGGAGGCATGTAAGAACCGTGGCAAACCTCCCATGTCTGCGACTTGGCCCACACCGAATATAAACCGAATCCTCAGTATGCTTGAGTCTTTTGCCAGGCAAGCTGACAAGCGCTACACCTCGTGAAAGGCTTAGCTGATCCATGCCCATCTGCAAGAGAATCGTGTGCGGTACGGTGGGCTTAGGGCTTAGAGCTTTCGTCAAGCGCATCACGAGACCCGAATGAAGGATTAGGGTTCAGGGCTTGGAGCCCAAATGAAGGATTAAGGTACAAGGTGTCAAGCATGTGCAGGTGAGCCTGAATGAAACGCCGCTGAAGACAGACCGGCTGCCTTTACAAGGGGGAAGAGCGCTGCTAAGCCTGAGTGGCAAAGTTTTCGCGGCCAAGAATCAGGTTTGTCATAAACCCAAGCCCTTTACCCTAGAAGCTGTATTACAATCATCACAGTAAAGGATTCATAATACTTATAATTAGAGTAACCGCAAAAATAAACTTAGATTACTAGAGAAACTCCAAAAGTAACGATGTTAGTAGCCAGATGGTAGCTCTACTAGTGAAGAGCCTTCAAGGCGTTGCTCCAAGTTCCTCGAAATCTTGGAAACTCGCGAATGTAGGGTTTAGTAGGGTTTAGGGATCGGAATAATTTAGTAAGAGTATGTCTGTAGGTTTCCGATAATATGGTTATGGTAGAATAGACCCCCAACGCACTGCTCTAATGTTCAAGTGCCCTACTCTAAGCGCCTCTCGTCCCCTTATGGAGACCCTCAAACAGACTTTCAAGGAACCCAAATCTATATCTTAAGGCCGTTATACCAATCGCACTGAGGGGCATCGACATCGAAATCACGTTCGACGAGAAGGCCTCCCTTCATAATTTGAGTCAATATAGATGCCTAAATCTGGTCCTTAGGGTTCCTTAGGCTATAAAGGAGCCCCAAAACCCTATTCTACCCTAATTGTTTACCTCCAAACCCTAAGCTGTACAGCCCAATAGAACCATAATAGTTTCCAATGCTGTACCCGAGACAACTTCCTTAGATTAACACATATCCCCTTTGTTGCGGCTGTTACTTAGCAGCTGAGTGGGTAACACCTTAAAATTTAGGGGTCGGAACCCTAAACCCCTAAACGCCTAAAACCCTAAACCCCTCTAAACCCTACACCCCTAACCCCTAAACCCCTAAACCCCTACACCCGCAACCCCTAAATCCCTAAACCCTAACCCCTAAACCCCTAAAGCCCTAAACACTAAACGTTTTCTGGGCTAGGGCAATGGCTCAGCCCCTCAGTTCGCTCCCCCTCTATTTGCGGGTGCGAAGGATGAGGGTCAGCCCCGCATCTGCAGCTTCGTCCCCAACTATTTTCGTGGGGTTGGGTGGTTTAGGGTTTAGGTTTCAGGATTTGGGGTTTAGGGTTTAGGGTCTAGGGCTTAGAGTTTAGGTTTTAGGGTTTAGTTTTCGGGTCTCGGGTTTAGAGTTTAGGTTTTAGGGTTTAGTTTGCAGGTCTAGGGTTAAGGATCTGGGGTATGGCGTTCAGTCACTGTGCGGCTAACCCGAGTGTAAACTCCGTCAGCGTTCCGAAACCAAGAACAGCCCCATATAATCGATCAAGCCTAGTAACCGAGTAGTCGAGTAGGTGACCTTTAACCTTTTTTTGGGTAGTATAGTCCCTATTCAATCCCTATTTAACAAAAAAGGTTAACCTTTAGTTCCCTATGATACCCGACAAGTAGGCAAGTAATTCGAGTGGTTGAGGATGTGGAGCGGAGGATCCTTGCGCCAATCCGTCGAGTATGAGAGCTTACCCTACGGATCTAAGGACTCATATATTAAGGCTTTTGGGCCCAAAGACCATACTATACAAGGCTTTTGGGCTATTT